TCGGGAGGCGTGCAAAATGGAAGAAGCATGTACAAGCTGTGCCAAATTGGTATATTTATATAGATTAATATATATTAAACAGTAAAGCTTTTTTTGCGATCTTAATAAAAAAATATAGTTCTTGTTTTAGTCTTTTTATACAAAAAATTAATGGACTCATTTTAATAGGGTTTAAGAACTAATACAGATCTTTTCTGAATTTATGAGATCATGATTTCAATTAAATGAATTCACTTTGAATTTTCTAAGAACTTTGAGATTTTTTTTTTTTTTGTAAGGAACTAAAGTGGAATCATTTTTTTCTTAGGGACCAAAAATGGGCTTTATTCTATATTAAATGATTATCTTTTACGTTTGCATGATAATTTTTTTATATTTATTTTTTTTAAACATATTGTGAAATATCCTTAGTTTTAATTTTTACTTTTAGAATTTTCTAATTTAAAGCACTCGAACTTTATTGATAAAAATTATTTTTCAAATTCCATAAAAATCATCGTTTCATATACTTCCATGGAAATTGAATTATATGCTTTTTTTGGAATTGAAATTATTGGTCAATTTTGTCAAATCAAAGATACTTGATTGGGAATTTCTCTATTATTTGTGATTTGATGTATTGAGAATTATAATTCTAAATGATTTATTTATTATTGGGTCCGTTTGGCTCATGTTATATTTAATTGAGGGCTTTTTGACCATAGCATCAACACTAGAATGAGAATTATCTGAGAACATGATTTCGCGGGACAATATCAAAGGATATGTTATTTAATTTAGGCAGATTATATTTATAAACTTTTTTGTTTACAAACTCTTACAAACTACATTATTTTTTTTTTCTGGAAGAACACTAGGTTTCACTATATTATCCCAGGAGAAGATAGTGTAATTTGTAAAAATTTGTTAAAAAAATTTATAAACGGGTCATTCCCTTTAATTTATAGGAACTTTTTTCTTCTGCATTGTTGTAACTTATATGATAGATAGTATCATAACCCAAGGAAGCTGAGAGAAAGAGAGAGAAAAACTTCATATCAGAGGAAGTTTTCTAATATTGTGAATAGTTGAATGCTACAAAGAAAGTGTTCTGCATATATAGGTAGACTCACAGCTAACTAACTATGAAAAGCTACTAACAGATTCTTCTACCAGACTAACAACTTCTACAATCAGTTACGTAACAAAATAAATAATAATATATGTGATTAAATGAAGATGCAGAAGGTACAGATAAAATATCAGTGATAACACCAACCCTCAAGTAGGATGGTGTACATTCACCAAACCCAACTTGCCGATCAAAGGTCTAAATAGACCCAGTGACAAATTCTTAGTTAAGGGGTCTGCTAACTAAGATGGATCGAGAAGTCACTTGAAGGAGATGTATCAAGCCCATGTCGATTTTTCACGAATCAAATGACAATCTATCTGTATATGTTTTGTTCTTTAGTGAAAACTTGGGTTATGAGCCAAATAAATCGTGAGCAATTATCACAATATACTAATATTGGCTTTGTTATCTCAACATTCAAATCTTGTAAAATGTAACGTAGGCATTGTATTTCAAAATTCAACATAGCCAATGCTCTATACTCTACTTCAGAGGAACTTCTCGATATTATAGTCTCTTTCTTTGATTTCTAGCTTATCAGCGAGTTGCCTAAGAACACATATAAGCTTGTAATTAATCTTCTTGTATCAGAACATGTTGCTCAATCTGAGTCTGAAAATCCACTTGGTATCAAAGTTTTTTTGGTCGAATAAAACAAACCTTTCCCACGTACCTTCTTGAGATATTTGAGCACATATAACACTACCTTCAAATGTAAGTATGTAGGATTAGAAACATACTAAGTTGTTGAACTACATGACATATATCAGGTGTAGTTGTTGTCAAGTACAAATCTTCCCATGAGCCTTCTATATTTGCCAGGATCCTTATATGTTGTTCTTGATTCACGATCCAATTTCGTTCCAGGTTCCATAGGAGTGGAACAAGGCTTGGCTCCAAGCACTTCACCATCTACAATTAAATTAAAGGCATATTTACGTTGGTTAATCACCAAACCTTCTTCTGTTCTTAAGATTTCCAACCCAAGAAAATATTGTAACTTTCCCAAGTCTTTAATTTTGAACTCAGCATCAAGGAACCATTTGACATAAGCTATCTCTTCCATACTATCTCCTGCTAGCACTATGTCATCAACGTAAACAGTAAGGTTGTAAATGAATCCGAAGTCACCTTGGTAAGCAACGAGTGATTAGCCTCTGATTGTTTATACCTGATGGGAATGGGCGCAGAACTGAGATGAGAATACCATTGTCTGCTTGCTTGTCTTAATCCATATAAGGATTTCTGCAACTGGCACACTTGATTAGGCTTGGTAAGCTCCAATCTAGGGGGTATTAGCGTCATATAAACTTCTCATATAATTCTCCATGCGATGCCACCCCTTACAGTGGCAACACTGAGAAGAATTCTGATTGTAGCAACCTTTGCAATCGAAAAAAATGTATCCAGAAAATCCACTCCTTATATCCCTTAACTACGAAGCATGGTTTGTGACACTCAATTATACCATTAGCTCGGAGCTTTGTTTTAAAAACCCATTTACACCCGATTGGATGCTTTCTTAGAGGTAGTTCTGTGAGACACCAAGTATTATTGTGTTGTAAGGCCTGTAACTCAGCAGCCACAACATCTTTCCAATATGTGTGCTTGGCAGCTTCAGCATAAATTTGTGGATCATAGATAGAATTAATGTTGAGACAAAGTTTAGTGTAATCAGAAGGGTATGAATTATAAGCAACAAATGTATTGTTCCATTATCATCTCGACGTCTTTATCATCCACTGCTTGCAAACTAATGTATTGTTCAGATTGTCATAACCTTGTGGTGACCTGAGTGATAGATTGGTTACCTTGAAGAGTTAATTTTTGACGAATTCTCTCATACAGTTTATCAATTGTTGAGTTGCATTTGATATGTGTTGGCCTTTTTTCACTTTCAAAAAATACACCTCGTCGGCCTTCCATCTTCCTACCATTGTAATATAACACAACACGAACAAAATCAGAATGTGAACTCATTTTTAAATGGAATAACAAATAAAATAAGAGACTATGAATAAGCTAATAATTTTGTATGTAAAAGTAAGGATTGATGGTGGAGAAGAGTTGTGAAGAGTGTGTAGAGGATAAAGGTTTAAATAGATATATTTGTACCATTCACGTCCTGGGCATCAATATTGCATGTATCACGTCCAAATTTGACATCGCAGGTTATGCCCCACTTAGGCGTGACTCACGTGGAGGTGACGCCTCCATGGAGCGTGACCTGTGACGTCCAATGAGGGCGTGAGACATTGCAATACACACATAAATATTTTAAAAACAGTAATAAATTCATATTTTTTTTATTTAAATTACAATAAATTAATTTTTTTTGCTTAAAAAAATTGCCATAAACCAGTTCTAGGCTGAAGGCTTGAGTTGTGTGCGAGACAATTCAAAGGCAAAATCACAAGGGCCATTTCATTTTGTGAAAGATTCAAAGTAATATTATGGCTAATTATGTAAGGAATTAAAGTGTCTCCTGCAACAACAACATGTAAAATTATCTTCATAGTTTTGGAGTCTGGTAAAAAAAATATAGGGTATTTTAAAAAAGGAAAATATTAGTCTCGTATTATAAGAGACTAGTATCTTATGTCATATTACACTTCGATAATTGTGTTGTCATTTTCTTTTTTATTTCTTTTTTCTTTTTTAATGGTGGACCCACCACTTTATGTCTTAGCAAAAGATATGTTCTCTCCTACAATATGAGAGTAGGCAAGCCCTTTAAAAAAGACTTTAATGTTTCTAGAATGAATGTAGATAAGTTATTTACGTTTACTACCAAAATGACGTCGTTTTGGGTTGAAAGATTAAAAATTTATAATGAGAAAGACTATTTTAAACCTGAAATAAATTATAATTACAAAAATACTTTGATTTTCGTCCCTAAATATTATTTTAGGTTCAATATAAATAACTTATTTTGATTTCCTCCCTAAGTTCAATACGACGTCAAGTTAGTGAGATAACTTTGTCTTTCATTGAATGAGAGACATTTTTCCCATTATTTAATATATTTAATATTTTTATTTTTTTTTTGTTGCACTCACATAAAAATGAATAAATCTAATTATCTTTCGCTAATTTTTTTTTCTCTCTTCTTATTCTAATGAAATCCACTTATTTCTATCCTAGTGTGACAAAAAAAGTTCTATAGCAAAAGCAAAAATACTTTTTCTTTAGTTAGAGCCGGTTTGACATATTTTTTTAAGCTAAAAATTACTTTTAAAGTAAAGTTAAAAAAATAACTTAAAAAATAAAGTTAAAAATAATTATGTAAATATTTTTTTTAGGATTTTGAAAGGAGGAAAATGAAATAATTTATTATTAGAGTAAATGATAAAATTTATATTAATAAAGGTAAAATTGAAAAATAAATATAAAAATTCCAAAAAACTAACATACATTTTAATAAAAGTTCCTCTCGAGGAGCTTTTAATTTTTTTCATTATAAAAACAAGCTTTTTTTATGATAAATTTTTTTATAAAATTATATTTAACTCTACTTCTGGTTATAAAAAAAAAAAAAAAAAAAAGAAGCTAAAATTAAAAACTCCCAAACAGGTACATAATTGTAAGAAAACGAGAGGGCCTTTATTGGGTTGCCTAACTTGAGGTTTAATTTTTCAATAACTAAACCCATTTCTTTAAAACAAAAACAAAATCTAACTCATAGTTAAAAATTAAACCGACTCATCAATATAGATTTACTGTGATATAAAATATATAATTGTTATACTTATAGCTGAAACCAAACCAACCCGGTTTAAGTTAGTTTGGATTTTAAACAACTATGTACCTGCCCTAATTTAATAGCCTCGGCCTAGCTGTATTTTCATCGCAAGAAAGAGTCTTACAACAAATAAATAAAGAAATGTAATGGGTGCAAGAATATTGATGAAACAGCTGTCATACAAAAACTGTAATGTAGCTATTTACAGTGCTCTGGGTTGCTAAAACTGTAAGGTGTATACAAAAAACAAGAATGACTCTTAATATCAGTATTGGATTGTGTGGTGGCGTAACCAGAGGTCATACATAACCATATGGAAGGCATCATATCTGATTGGGGGCGAATTCCATTGGAAGTGTCTCTGAACCTGATATAACATGACAGAACTTTCTTGTGAGTTCCACCATATCAAACAAATAATTCAATTGGCAATGAAAAATTCTATCAACCACCATTACTAAAATATTTGGGGTCCATTTTTTTGTATTCCTTTCTTTCTTTTTTATTTTTTTTTGTTTATATTTAAAATTTCTATTCCAACTTTACATTCAGCTGGCTTTTCAAGCAAAATAAATAACAAGAAATTCTAGAGAGAAAAAAAAACTTTAGCATTCAAAGATTTTCTAAACTATAAGCAAAGGGAGCAACACATACACGTTCGAATGCCACACAATATAAATGTGAAAAATAATATATTTCATTCATATATAGATTCCACATAAAGTAATGAGAGGATTTCTACCTTTACTAAATTATTATGTAGTTCAACAAACTCAGCATCCGATATATTTTTGAGGATTTGTTTAAGCTGGTATACATCACTCTCCTTGAGTACGACAGCAAATTTTCTCCAGTCAAGAATATCATTAAAAGGAAGGTCATAGTAATCTGACAATATCACTGCAAAACAACATTAACAACTTAGGTCAGTTACAAGGTTGTCCAAAAGACACATACAGCCATCTGAAAAGCCAGAGCATCGAAGTTAAAATCATAATATGTAACAATAATTTATTCAAACCGTATGTTACAGTTCAAATGTCACTCACAATATCCTAAATGTATTTCTTTTGAGATCCAGGGAAAACATATTGGCCAAACAACAACTATTGTAGTGGTCATGCAGCCAACAAATTGGGCCAAAGTATAAGTGTAATATGTTTAGGTGGATTCTACTGAATTTGAGCTTCATTATCACCCTCCAATACAATAGTACTTCGACCTTAGCTAAGGTGATTGGACCAGAGGGGTGGGATTTCGGTGGAAGGTCCTAGATTTGATCCCTGACACTCCCTCTTGTATTTTCACAATACAAAACACCCTGCCCCCCCCCCCCCCCCACCACACACACACACACTGATAAAAACTTTGTATCTATTATTCATTCCAATTAAGAAATCTGCTTTTTGAAGTTGAACATACTAGAAGCCTATTGATTAATTGATTATTAAACCACCATATTTCAGACATTCAATACTCACACCTCAATAAACTAGCAATTCCAATCCTAGGAGTGATAAAATTAAAAGCAACCAAAGGTTAATCAGTCTAGACAAGGATAGCGTTTGCAAATGTTACTCAATAGACACAATATAATTCATATTTTACCATAAGCATAAAGGAACCCAGGCATCTAACACCAACACAAGAGAAATCCTAGGCAAATCTACCCATCTCATATCATCCATGAAACATGACAAAAACCATTAGGCAACAAGTATTCAGTTTATATATACTTGCATTGTCATATAGGCATGCAGTTTAAAGATGCTTAGTACGCAACTATAAAATTAAGGGGGGGGATTCATCAGAAAGGATGACTCTTACCAGGGATGCATCCATAATGGATAGAGTCTGCTATTCGAGCACTATTAACCTGTGAACCACCAGGGCATATACAAAACTTAGTTCTGTAAAATCTCTTCTGGTATACTAGATGCCCAGTAGCCCTACTAATTCTGTTGTTTGAAATATCAAGTTCGGTGTCATTTTCCCATACACGTGCAAGAATAACTCTAATTTTAGAGTTACGATGGCCAGCCCAAAATCCAAGATTAGTCCTACAAAGCACATATTTATAAAATTTTCAGAATGAATAAATATGCATTTTAGAACCATTGTCTATTGATCTTACAGAACAAACAATATATCAAGGTCGCGGCAATATCTATTAAAAGTATCTCTACTAATTCTGTTGTTTGGAAACTGAATTCTCTATCACTTCATCTTATCATTTTACATGAAATGAATAGTCAACATCAACAACATATTTATCCCAAACTATTTAGGGTCGGTGGCAGATGAACCCAAACTACATGAAATGAAAGTAATAAAAATCAGGTTCTTGGATAGGATAGCAACACTGAAAGTCTGAAACTCAAAAGCATTTTATCACGTATGAAGATTATAAGTCATGAACAACACTAACATTTTTCATGTCTTTGCGAGTAGTGTGTACTCCATGGAAGATATTATGATCCACAATGTATATAATGTAATAACAGATTACAAGAAAATTTGAAACTGAAGTGCAACAGTAGCTTATTATAGAAACTAAAGACCTGTGGGTTGTGAGCAAGTTTAAGATAAAGGTGTTTATACATTCTGAGAAATGTCAAGTAATTTACATCACACTCATCGAGTGACCATAACAAGATTAATAAACAATTCGACAAGCAGGATGATAAATCACCTAAACAACAAACTTCTGATCCCAAAAACCTAATCAGTACCAACTAATTTGAGTGTAACAATCTCATTAAGTGGAAAGAGCATATATCTTAATATTCACCTGTTTTCTATATCATTCCCTCCAGCTGGAAGAGCAAATGGCTGTAGTACTTGAGGGAGAGCAACATCTTTGTGTGGAATGAATCCAACATCATAGCTGGGGGAGCACACTGCTCGAATAGAATTCTTCACAAGAAATGGAAGTCCTTCTGTTGCCCTTACTCCAACATCATGACAAGTGACAAAGAAGTGATCAGCACCCAAGGTTCTGTTCCAATAAGGATATTTGGACATTAAGCTCTCCACGTAATTTTGTACAATTATGGTCATATTCTCATAAGATGTGCCCTGCATAATATACAAGCATGAGAATGTGACTACACTCCACCTAGAAGCAGACACTTAACCATCAAGGCTAAAACATAGTAAATCTTTTTTAATTACTTATTATTTCCTTTATAGCTAATAATCCATAGTAACACACTAACAAATCATTAACATACAGAAAAAAGGGGGAGGGGGAGCATCACTGTATAGAAAGATGAAGAAAAGAACTCTCACAAGCAAAAACTAAGTTCTGGGCACATGAGGAACAAAGTAACAAACACAACATAGGCATGGAATTCTACCTTCCCATATCTAAGCAGCAAAAGTTTATAAAGTGGCAGCAAAAAATAAAAAGCCACAACCTTGCAAATGCAGTGAAATGTGGGTATTGTAAAACATACCTTGCCACGCATCTTGTGACACGAAATGGGAATGAAGAAGAGGTGTGCCTGATCGGGATGGAGGGTGCGGAATCGACTCTCCCTAATGTTCTGGAAGAAATATCCCTCACTGGCGTACTTTCCGGTGAGCTTCCTCGGCGTTTGATAAAACGTGTTGGGATCCCCATCTGGGTATATATAAACCTTGAACTTCTTCTCCATCTCCGCGTAATTCAGCTTGAACACACGCGCCGAGTGATATATATCCGAAAACTCCTCTCCCTCTTCTTCTTCGTTTGCCGCATCGTCTGCGGCATCGACCAGCTTCGTAACGGAGACCTTGGAAGGAAACCAAAAACAAAAGGGGGCAATCAAGAAACCATTGAAAAATCGAAAATTCTGAAATGGGGTTTTGCCAAAAAAAAAAAAAAAAGTACCTGAGGTGCAGGGGTGGAGTATTTAAGAGAGAGATAGGTGAAGGAGAGAAGGGTGACGATTGCGAGGGTTAGGAGTGATCCTCGCAGAGAGAAGAGGGTGTGCCACGAAGATTGCTGTTGTTGGGATTGCTTCCCGGACGTCATCAGCATTTGATTTTGATCTTTGAGTTCGAGGATTCGATGGGTTAGATTAGAGTTAGTGAACAGAGTATAAGAGGAACCAGATTCAGATGGTTCTTGCTTGTGAATCTGTTCTGTGATGTGGTGAGGCTAGGAACCATCCTTGTTCCTTTTTACTTTTTATTTTTTTTGGGTTAGAAATTGTATTTACTTTCCATTCTGGATATAAGTATGAAATTTTACATTCTCAATTATTTATTTATATTCTACTGCAAATTTCCCCCTTCTATATTTGCCTTGCCTTTGTACAAAAATAATATATATAGGTCTGTGTGTTTATCTCTTTTGTAATTTTTTTGTTAAGACTACATCTATTTAATATATATATATATATTTTTTTGTATAAATCTATTTAATATATCTGATAAAAAGAGAGAAATACAAATTTTTTCACATTAGTTAAATTTTAAAATGAGAGGAAATTCCAAGAGAGGTGTGGTGTTAGTGTTCGCATTTGAAATCTCGGATAGGAAAAGTAAAATAATTATGACATTTAGAGTCAATAATTCAAGTAAAAACATTTAAAAGCTAGGGAGCGTTTGGTATACGAGAAATTTTTTTTACCAAGAAAAAAAATTTGCTAAGAATATGGTATGAAGAATTTTTTGCCAGGTAAGTTAAAAAAAAGTGTTTGATAGGTCAAAAATTTTCCGAAAAAATTAGATGAATTTTACTATTGTTATGTTTGGTTGACTGAGGAATATTGATGGGAATGTGAACCGAAAATACAAAATTACCCTCGATTGCATTTTGAATAGGACTGAATCTCATAAACTAGGGCTCAAAAATAAGGGCGTTTTGGTCTTAAATTTTTTTTATCAGTTTCCTCCCGCATGGCATCTCCTCAGCAGTCATCTTTCAGTAGCCTTCTATGTGCAAAAAAATTTGATGGGTACAAAATATTCCAACCACTTTTTTATCTCTCGCTCCTATCAAACATGGTTAGTCTTTTTTTCTATCCCACTTTTTAGGGCAACTTTTTTTTTCCATCCTACCATACACCCCCTTAAGTTACCTCTGTTCTATTGCATGGTTAGAACAGAAGGTGAAAAAGTACACTATGTTAGAAGAAGCCCATAGCCTTAATGTTGCTGGATAGAAGTAGTCGATTTTTTTTAAACTAGATTTATTTAATATAATTTCCTCAAGTCTAATTCAAATAGAAGCCGAGTTTTGTTTTATATCGGAGGGATAAGGGATTGAAGGGCAAAAAAAAGTTAAAATATTATTGTTTTAATAAATAACTACGAATATATAGCTATTTTGGAACTATTTACATAGACTTCTGAGTTTAAACGTTTTTATGGTACCATTGTCACAAATTCAAACTATGTTTGTGAGAGATAAAATATTTCAAATGAGGTGTCATTACGTAGATATCAAAAAGTTATGTGAAATAAAAAAAATTACTTGATTTGGATACCCGAGTCAAAAGATATTACATGTTGAAGTTTTACGGTTAAACTGTTAACTTTTTGTGCCACATGTCAACACCAGACGAGTCACGCTTAAATTAGACGTGAATGCCTCGCGAGTCACGCCTAACTTACACATAATTTGGATATGAGTGAGTGCTATAGATTCGTAATAATTTTAAAATAACATTATATTCATAATTATTTATTAAAATAGTAATATTTTAATATATATTTTTGCTGGGAATGAAGTATTGAACATTTTTTAAACTAGTGCTTCTCATAATGTAATCTACTACGCTGAGGCTTTGATGCAATTTTAACCCTAGGGAACTTTGATAGCGAAAAGAAATAACAAATTAAAAGAAAAAGAAATTTTTTTTAAGGTGCATGAGGCATTTTTTGCTATACTGTGGTCTGCAAGAGATATAAATATGGAATCTGAAAAATAATCTATACCTTGTCTGTAGTATAATAGAGATGCTGAAAAATTCACATGCCTGCATGGATTATTCTGAAAGGCCACCTCCTTCCTACCTAGAAGTCTCTCAACCATTATTGCCTTTTTAACTCTTCTTTTTCTACGACTACTTCTTCCCACTTTCACTTTAGAAACGCCCATGTTGAAAGGTTAATAAGATGTGGAAAAGAATTGACAGCACAAGTGTCTACAAACATTTTAATTCAAAAGAGAAAATGAGTAATAAGACATTGAACCATAACTAATGTCTTATATCCTTTGTGATTGTGATGATGAGCCGCAGATTAACTGAGAAATTCATCCATTGAAATTACTTAGCAAGAGAGGGGAAGTTGGTTCAACCCGAGTGTACAAGGGAAAGAGAAAAAGGATCCAAACTATAGAACAAAAATGCAAAAGATGCCTTTGACACATTGAAGTAAAATGGCAAGGGAAAAGGAATTGGCTTATTGATCTGATAACGCATATTTTGTTACACTTATTTTTTACTCTTGGTTAGTATTTTTAGGATTTATTTGAGTTAAATAAAGGTCTTTTGGATCAAATTAGAATTCTAGATTTTAACTGGGTTTAATTGATTTTCGTCAGAATTTTTCAAATTTACACTATTTTTGTATTTTGGTCATATCTCACACTACAAATGTCAGATTGACTCTGTTCTTGTTGTGTTTTGCAGCTAACAGAAAGGTTTACAATCTCTATTTCAGCCCTTGAATCCTAATTTGGACGGGAAGATGGTCTAAACCTGAGCCCGAGATAGACGTGTTTTGTTGGAAATTTATTTTGACGTTTGGACTTGTAAATTAAATTAGAACCCAATGTGTTTAAGGTTCAAAGCCATTGTTTTAGTTCTGGTTTTGTTTATTTTATTATTGTGGGTCGAAATTAGTTAAACCTAACCCGGTTATGATGTGAGTTAAAAAGTTCGTTTAGGAAACTTGTCGGTATTCTTCGTTTTGGAGTTTGTACGTTTGACGGCTTTTCTTTGAAGGAACAATGTACATTTTTCTGTTATTCATCTCTTCTTCTTCTTCTTCTTTTTAATTTTTAATTATGTTTACCTTAGCCATGCGAGGCTAAGAACCTTTAATCAACCTAAGGGTAATGGATTCCATGGAAGAGTCTAGAGGATCTGAACCTTTCCTTTAAATCAGATTTGTTTCTCTTCCAAACTCAGATTGATATCGTGCGATTGTGGATATTCAATGTGAGATTCGTGGTTGCGATTATGGAAAGAGATTAATCATCAGATTTGATGATTAGATTGATTAACCCTATGACCTTAAGTCAAATGGGCTAATACTCTGTGATTGTATGAGTAGAAGCACCGTATTTGATCAAACGCTAAGCGATCGCTTAGAGAAGGTTCTCAATTGAAAACAAGGATTCTGATTCAATTGAGATAAATCACGATTCTTGTATCTTTTTATCCAAGGAAAGACGTCCTATGAATCCTAACCTTAGGTTGTTATTTTAATTACGAATTTCAATTTTAATTTTTACGTTCTATTTTCATTCTTATTCAAAATGAACAAAACCCCCCCTTTTATTTTCTGTTTTAATCTACGATTTTAATCCTTGCGATTTCCTTGAAAGACGACTCAGGTTGATGCTCTACTACAAATTTTCACAAACCTGATTTTATTAATTTGCACGAGTTCGACAACTTGTGCCATGATCTTTACCTGCATTATATTATTTCAGCCAGAAAATTTGGTGCAGATTGTTGGCTCCGTGATTCTCATTTAATTTTGTGGGTCGATGGTTCATTAGTTTTGATACCCTAATTTTTTAAAAAACAAAGAAAAAAAAGGATGTGAAGAGTGTGAAAAATAAGCAGCGGCAACCGCGAGAGAGAGAATGAAAAAGAGATAAGACGAATAGAGAAGAAAAAAAAGAAGAAAAAGAAAAGAAATTTCCTCCAACAAATTCAACGGTGAGACTTCGTCAGAATAAACTCAAATTTTAGCGGCGTCTTCATGATATATAGTGCTTCATATCCAATGTTCACTTTATGATTTGGAGATCTCTAGAGAACCAAATATGTTCTTCCCATATGGAGTGTTTTTCTTATGACTTTCCCTTTTTTCCCCCTTGATTTCTATATGTCAGATGATGTTTTTTGATTTCTTTATTGTTATATTAGATAGAAAATATTATGTATATGTATCCATTATTATTAATTGGTGATAATGGAAGATTTATGCATATATATATATATATATATATATATATATATATCTATTAAAAGTTCGAGAATTTTTTCCCTAGAATAAAGGTTGTGTGTCGATTGGGTTGCTATTATTTTTAGTTGCTTACTTTAATTTGCTCTTGATCTGTTTGTTTGACCCCCGACAAAGTGATATAAAGAGCCTTGATTAGTAGTTGTGGGTATTTGTGATGTAATTGAAATGGAATGTAGTTCGAGCATTGTGTATGTGTACCAATATGGTTAATTGGGGATAATAAAAGATTTGGGCGGAGATAAATGTCCTATGATTTTTTTTTTTCAAATTGAGTTTTCCACGTCAAAAGTCTTGTGTGCCAATTGTTTTGTTGTTGTTCATGATATTATTTTGAGTTATTTATTTTAATTTGCATTTGATCTATTTGTTTGGCCCCAACAAAGTGGTATCAAGAGTCTTGGTTGTAGTTAGGGGTGTTTGTGGTTTAAATTGAAATGGGAGTTGGGAGATAACTTAAACATTGTTATGTGTACCCATTAATGTTGATTGGTAATTTGGTATAGTGGAAGATTCCAATAAAGGTCATGTCATTACATCATTAAATCCATCAACAAGAACCAAGGAGGCCAACAATGTGCCCAATTCAACTTGCATTGAGAAAATCATAATATAAACCAGAAACAAGATAAGGTGAATTAAAGAGTTTCCAAATATAAAATCCAGATCCAATCCATGAACACATCTAGCTTGTAATTGTAAATAAAATGAGACGAGTCACAAAAAGAAGTAAATTACAAAAAACAAAATGAATGAAACATTGTAATCTAGTAAAGCGCAGAGTTCACACTTTAATTCTGTATCTACCTATTGGAACAAGAAAGTTAAGACTCATTATACAACACTTTACTAATCGATTAAACTTTACCAAAACTTCCTCAAATATTATTCAAAGTACAGCTTACTAAATTTATCATGCACACGTGTAAAAGAATTGGGCATTCCAACTTTCCAATTGAAAAGGGAAAAAA